GTAAAAATAATGATAGCTGCTTGGATGGTCAAACCATCTGCCTTAAAGGTAATATGGAGGATTTTTTAAAAGACCCGCCCTCTCCACTTAAAAAAAAATGCATGTGCAAGAGCACAAGCCCATTTCTCCTCATGCACTCCCTGTTTAAAATATGCTGTTCTCATAGCTCATACAAGCTTACTGTGTCCACATACAGCGGGGACTACATAGTGGACTTTATAGGAAACTCAGTTAACTGATCGTTCAGACAGATGATCACTGCTTTTTACCCCATTAATCGCGTAACTTCTCCACTGCGTGGTACCTGCACCATCTTTGTTATTAGGGCCACTGTGACAGCAAATCCCATAGTGCTTGTGAGTAGAGCTCTCCAGGCAAAGTATGGATATATCTGCCTCTTCTGAGGCCTTTCTTTTCTTCTCATACCCTCTTAGAGACTTTTTCTCTTACAACCCTTGGGCCACTTTCAAAGAACTGCAGTGAGCTTCAATAACTGTCTGAAACAATAGCTCACGACAGATATATGCCTGAAAGTGCGCATGTGAAGAAAAAGATGGCTAACAGGGCATGCACGTAGGATGGCCTTGTGTAAACATATAATCAGAATGATTGACAATTAGGAGGATGATCCACCCTGAAATTAAAGATCATCCTCTATACCTTTAATTGTTTTTGAACTTCTAAGACTGCATGACATTCAGATTAAGACCTGAAGATTACCACTTAGGATTGATTTGATTGTTCTGAACTTTCTGTTTGTTTATAAAAACATATATATATATATATTATTCCAATTATTCCCAGACACCAGAATACCTTATCATCATGTTTGTTAGCAAGTACTGAGAAGAGGCAGTTTTGACCTTTAACTCCAGCGAAATGTACCCTTCAGCTTCCGTATATCACAAGCACTTGTCATCTGGGAATTGGAGGAATAGATTATGGAAGCAGAAGATTCTTTCTTCACCATTATTGCCAGTTTGATTTGGAATGTGTTTGTAGAGAAATAAGAGAAACCCTCACGTTTGTAATACCCTTTTCCCACTGGCTGAAAAACTCATTAAAACCTAGGAACAATCAGCTTGTAGTGGCAGTATGACTGGATTACTGACCCGTGTCAAATGACTCAGCAAGCGACCCGGGTTAAAATTGCCTTCAAAAGGCTCGGCTCCAATTGGCATACAGTGAGAACATCAGGCCCGGTTAGGCCCGCTAATTTACATTATACCATTGAACGCAACATATAGACGTCAACACTCCACACCAGTCACTTCTGATACAACAAGCAAAAACAACTCTGCTTAAATTTAATAAACATTGCACAGCAGTGATGAGAGGGATTCAGAGGGGCAAAGAGTGAAACAAAAAAGCATACTTACTACGCTTCCTTCCATGTTACTCTCCATTGTTTACTTTTCTGACCTCTGTCGCACTAAGACATCATCAACGCTAAGCCAACGTGATGGTGTCACCAGATAGGCAGTAGGAAGGATCAGACTCTGATTTTTTGTCAAGGGAAAGGGAGCCAAATGCCGATTGTTAGTGGGTCAAACAAACAAAAAAAGAAACACATTAACCAGATCATTTCAGTGGGTAAGAGGCTTAATGATATTTTTTATAAAAATGTTTGGGAAAATGAAAGATTACTGCAGAAATGGAGCAATGTAGATCATCTTTGTTCCCTTTAAACTGAGTATTGACTCAAGTTATTAAGAGGTCTCAACCTCTATACAAAAGCATATATTTTTATTGAAGTTGACACACTTCAGTGATTCTGATCTGATTTATCTCTACAGAGGCCATTCCAATCACATTAGAAATAAATTCACATGCCCCATTTTTCTTTCCTAGCTTTCTATATTCAATTCAGCCTTACAAAATTGGTAAGAGTGCCACCTGATGGGAGATTTCATTCTCTGCGTGGTGCTTATTTTAGCACAGGGGTAAACTTAGTCATTTTTACTGTTGGGTTTGTTGATCTGATTCTCACATGAAATGATTTTTGAAACCTACTACTTGGTACAGTGTTGGCACTCGAGCCAAGTGACTACAAGGTTAGGCTATGGATAATGTTTCTGACAGAAAGCTTGATATACTCACAAAAAGTGCAGAAAGATTCTCTATGTGTGGATTTAACTAGACAGCTCATTTAGTTTAGCCTTCATTCCTATTTGGGTGAGATTAATTTTAGAGGCTGACTAATGTGGTAATTGTCGCAGCATGCAGCTGCTTTTCCTATCCATTCTAAACCTCATGCTAGTCATTTTGATGCTGCCTGTGTCTAAGCAAGCAGTAGGGGAAAAAAATATTCATATTATCTATAAATAACGTTATCTCCTTTGTAAAGACAGGGAAGCGGGGGGCCAGTCTGATTCAACACCAGTGGGTTTTGTTTTTGTTAATTGTTTTCCTTTTTGCTCTTGGAAAATGTGCGTTATTTGGTTTATCACTGCAGAGGCACTTAGCAGAGCTTTTAGTTTGTTGGCTTTTGTGGTAAATGCAGACCTCATTATTAGGTGGGCATTTAAAATGGAGGAAGTAGGAAAACAAAATCATCTCAACTTTTTCCCACACTTTTTGCAGATTTTCAAGGTATTGGATTTTAGATTTACAAACATTAGTTAGCACATATGAAGCTGCCAGGTCTCAGCTAAAGAAATTGCTTACTTGCAATGTCTTAAGGAATGAAAAAGCAGTTTCGGAAGTGCTTATGGGTCAAAGATCGTCAACGTTACCTTATCCTTTGCAAGGAGGTAAATTATTGACTTATGCATTAACATCTTCATCTACATCACATAACCGACCATGTGAGTGTAATTGGTGCTGTGGGAAAGAGAGATGACTTTGTAGAAGACATAAAAACTGACCTAAATAATTGACCTAAATATGTTATAACATTCAAATTTTCCTTTGTAAATTCGAATGTAACTTTTTCTCTCCATGTTTTATAAATCTAACCCTCCTCCTTTATGCTACCATAGAACCCAGCAAAAGTGACCCAAAGAAAATAGTAATATATTTTTTTAATTGTTGCTTCTTTAGTCTGGTTTGGGTATTAACACTACAATTAATTTAAAATCCTGAACTGAATGAATGAATGTAGTCTGTTGTGCATTACAAACATAAATAAATAAAAATTAAAAGCAGATAAAACTGTGTTATGCACAATACATTTGCAATGTGGAAAAGGAGGGATTAACAGAGCTTCCAGGAGTCTGTGAAATAACAGAAAAAGTATCTAGATTTGTTAGAAATCGGTTTCTTGGGGTCTAAAAACTCACATATAAATGAATATAGAGACATGGTTGATTAAAGGGACAATATGGCTGCTGCTTGACCACTTACAGCAGTTTGGACCTTTAAGTTTTCTACCAGACACACTTAAATTTTAAATTCTTATAGTTGATGCAGAAGATGATGCACAATCCCCTCACACCGGTAATTATGGTAATTATTTAAAACCTACAAAAAGCATCACTCAGATTCATTGCAGTCCAGTATTTATTTTGGCTTTCTTTGAGGTAGCTTACCATTTCAGATGTTCTATTTTTTTTTCATATAAACATATAAAAGAAGTCCACTGCCGTTTCCTCTGTGAAAAGAGGAAAAGATTGTTTTCCTTTTTGTAAACAAAGAACATTTAATTAAGGATGTGCTGTTGGTTGATGAGGTTCTAGATTTAAAAAAGAACAGCATTTCTAAGTTTTGATGTATTTGATAGAAAAGGACTATCTGTTAAAGAAAAAAAAAACTCAAAGAAGAGGAAGTCTCTGAACTTACAGTAGTTCCCCAACACATCATTTTACTTGTCTGAAATCTGACTTCTAGGACCATTAAGTTGAGGCAAGCTGCAATTATTTGCGGTTTGCCTTTAATTTTCTTCACTGAATTTTGATGTACCTCAAGGAAATGTTACAGGCTAGGTGTCTAGTTTGCATAAGCAAGGTCATTTGAATGGATGGGAAAGTAGCTACAGTATATGCTTCCCTGTGGTCTCTCTGACTCTTGGTGTGTCCTTTAGCAAGACAGATCCCTATAGTTTCAGATCATCATACCCAGCCTGAGGCCCTCTCTGTCCTATCCTTCACTCCATCCTTCCAACCCCCCTACTTTTTCCCTAAGTTTCCCTCTTCATTTTCCTCCCGTTATCTGGCCCCTCTTCGCTTTTTTGATGATGCCCTTGACGAGGTAATGACTGCCTGTCAATTTGTCCTGTCTATCTTTCCACTTATGATTTCTCGCTTGTCTCATTTTTTTCTCACTTTGTTATTCTTTGCTGACATTTTAAACGCTTTTCTGTCTTAAGAATGAAGTTGTCTATTTTAACTAAAATTGCTTCTTTTGACCTTCCAGGGAGCCATGCTCTTTTATTTCCCCTCATCAATAAACGGCTTGGTGTTACAAAACCTTCGCATTCTTTAAAAACAAAACAAGCAAACAAACAAACTATATATATATATATATATATATATATATATATATATATATATATATATATATATATATATATATATATATATATATATATATATATATATATATATATATATATATATATATATATATATATATATGTAGGATATTGCCTTCAAAACATGTATTTTTTAATTTGTATTGTCATTACTCTATGCTGTATGTCTTTTCTCTTTGCAGTGCCTCTTATCTTCTTTACAGTAATATCCTATGAGAACTGAAGGTCAAATTAAATCGCTTTGTACTTGTGATGCTGCCCCTTTTATGCTTCAATTTTATCACCAAGCTATTCCAAAAGAGATCACTGTTTTAAAACATGCACAAAATGACATCTTTACTACACACACTGAAGCTAAGAATACCATTGAAAAATAAACTCATAAATACGAATAAAACAGATGGCGAATATAAAACCACCTCTTCCTGCCATTTTCCTCTTAGGCTTTTTGCGGGAATATGGTCCCAGGGATAAATCACCACTGTGTTTGGGTTTATGTCTAAAAGAGCGTCTTTCTTCTTATGCTTAGGATCTCAACAGAGAGGAAGCCCTTCTGCAGCAGCTTAAAGAAAAAGATGAGCTGATTCTCAGACTTCAGAGTGAACTGGTAAGATTGATTTTAAAGGATAAAATTATTAGTTTGTTTCTGAAATCAGGCTCTTGTTACAGTAATACAAGAATCCGTTAAGTAAAAAAAAAACCTTAAGTCTTACATATAATCATCTCCATTGTGGGGTTTTTAAAGTCCTTAATTTGTGCTGTTTTTCTATTATTGTGTTATTCTAGTTACATCTGAAACTAGACGTATTACGCCAGTTACTAAAATAAATGTGATTCAGTTTGTTGTTCAAACTTCACTGTCCAAACATCATTTAGACTGAACTCTTTTTGTGTTAATTCATTTTTATTTGCTAAATGCAACCCTAATCAGAGAAAACATTTTAGGAAATTCTTAAAATTCAGAATTCCAGTCGCCTTTACCTTTATCATTTATGAACTATATAACCTGGTTTATAAATGTTCTGGGTTTCAAAAACCTTGAGTTTTTTAACCATTTTTAGCTCTGCTTGTACATTTTCTGCTGGACTGAGATCAAGGCTTTATGGTGGCCAGTTTAAACCAATGATTTGTTTGACGTACAGTAAAGCCACCTTGTTTCTAACTTAGTTATTCTTAACGATGTTTATTTAAAAGACCCATTTGTTCCCAAATATTAAAGGGGTCATAGATTGCAAAACCAAGTTTACATTGTCATAGATGAATAACGATAGTTCAGTGGGTGAAATGGACGTAGAGAGAAGTTCAAACCCCATCTATGCCTCCTTTCTCTGCAAATCTCACATTTCTAAACTTCCACCATAAAATGGGCGAATCCAAACCAAGCACCGAATTGACGTCATTTCGGCGATATTGTCTTATTTGGTTCTGGCCTGTACTTTTGTCACACATTGAAATTGACATACAGACCAGCCAATTGGTTCACTGACCCAAGAACATGAATAGAGGTAGATGAAAGACACCAGTTTAGCTGTTTAGCCTACAGTTGGTAGTTGCCTTACCTTGCTTCCCCCTGCCTGCCCAGTTCAGGCGGGGGGGAGCACTGTAGTCGACTAAAATCCTGGACTATTTTGAAATATCCCCACCCCCGTACATTTTTTTAGGTGTGAAAAGTAGGACATGTCCAGGAAAAAGATGACGTCGGGTTACCCTACCATATCAGCAATTTGTTGTTTCAGTGAGTGAGTGCTTGTTGCTATGATGCGTCTTTGCTCAGCAGCTTTGCTTATTGTAAACCAACCAATCAGCTCATCTTAATATTCATGGGCATACCATAAAAGGAGGGAAATCTCACATTTCATTCTAGGGCTTTTAACCAGGCTTGCATTAGGGCTCATAGAACAGCAAATATGCTATTTTCAGCCCAACCAATGTTACACACCCTATTCAGAGACCTTAAAGGAATAGTACACCCAAAACATGATTAGCCTTCATTTTCTACTCACCCCCATGCTGAACAACACTCTGGAGTACTTTTTTGATATCTCAAATGCATCTGGAGATCTGGGAGGCTTCTTGCTGTCTGCTGACATTCAAATAATGGAGGTCTATGGTGCCCGAGACAGAAAGGTCCATAAAAGTCCACAAAAAACGTGTCAATATTCCTCCATACTGCTCGTCCAATGTATTCAAAGTGTCCTGAGTGGGTAGCATCCAGAATTTACTCGAAATGAAGTCATTTAGAATGTTTTTAGAGCATAAACAGTAGTGTATAGGATTTCCTGAAAGCGCGCACCTGCGCGTTCACGAGTCTACGGAAACTGCGGCAGACCAAACCAGATGAAAGTGCGCATTCAGCGTCTGCTCTGCCAAAAATGCAAGCGTAGAAGAAGAAATGTGCTGTTTACCTGTGCAAAGAAAGAAACAACGAAAGAAAAATGTCTGAGGACTTCAGTGTTGAGGAAGAGCATGAGTTCTTTGCCGAGCTGAATGCGCACTTTCATCTGGTTTGGTCTGCCGCGGTTTCCGTAGCGTCGTGAACGCGCTTTCAGGAAATCCTATACACTACTTTTTATGCTCTAAAAACATTCTAAATGACTTCGTTTCGAGTAAATTCTGGATGCTACCCACTCAGGACACTTGGAATACATTGGACGAGCAGTATGGAGGAATATTGAAACGTTTTTTGTGGACTTTTATGGACCTTTCTGCCTCGGGCGCTGGGCACCTCCATTATTTGAATGTCAGCAGACAACAACAAGCCTCCCAGATCTCCAGATGCATTTGAGATATCAAAAAAGTACTCCAGAGTGTTGTTCAGCATGGGGGTGAGTAGAAAATGAAGGCTAATCATGTTTTGGGTGTACTATTCCTTTAAGGACCAACACCAAATACCCTATATAATCACTCTATGAACCCTTTAACTTAGCTGATTTATGTGTTAATACTATTTTTAATATTTTTACATAATATTGGTTACTAATAACGATATCTATAAAGTTTAGTCCCCTTAGCAACATAGCTCCTTCACAATATCATTCTTCTGCTTTATTACTTTACCATTTGGTTGTGTTCTATAGTCTTATTCGGAGGTAAAATGGTTAATTTGCCAAATGCTTCAGTTTTAGTTTCATTACACCAAACGGCATATCTCCCAAAGTTAAGTTCTTTTTGTATCGGTGTGCTTACAAACTGCATCTTTTTTTTTTATTAATTTCCTGGAAAAACTGCTTCTTCCTTTGTAAATGGTGTTTCACTCCTTACAAATACAGGATTAGTTTCACTGTATTCTCTTTAAACAGCTTCAGCCATCAGCTTGACTTGGTTTGTTGTTGTTTTTTTCCTGGTTCTGATGCACAGATTACCCAGCAGCCCATATTAATCCCTTGGTATCAGAACGTGTCACCTATAAAAGGCTGGTCCTTCCCATAGTGTTTATATAGATATGGTCCTTTGAAAAGAGTAACGTTGTGCCTTTAGGCAGAGAGAAATTGTACCCAGATGAACCAGATTTGTTGGAATCGCAATTCTTATTCAGACATATTGCCTCTTTTCTTTTGATATCCTAGAATATCACATAAAGAAGCATTGTGTCTGAGGTCTTGCCTTAAAATAATACCTGGGTGTGCCTTCTTAAAATAAATAAATAAAGGCACAACTTTAATATGTCTTAATATCTGGTTCAGCCATATACACTATATTGCCAAAAGTATTTGCTCACCTGCCTTGACTCACATATGAGCTTAAGTGACATCCCGTTCCTAATCCATAGGGTTCAATATGACGTCGGTCCACCCTTTGCAGCTAGAACAGCTTCAACTCTTCTGGGAAGGCTGTCCACAAGGTTTAGGAGTGTGTTTATGGGAATTTTTTACCATTCTTCCAGAAGCGCATTTGTGAGGTCGCACACTGATGTTGGACGAGAAGGCCTGGCTCTCAGTCTCCGCTCTAATTCATCCCAAAGGTGTTCTATCGGGTTGAGGTCAGGACTCTGTGCAGGCCAGTCAAGTTCATCCACACCAGACTCTGTCATCCATGTCTTTATGGACCTTGCTTTGTGCACTGGTGCACAGTCATGTTGGAAGAGGAAGGGGCCAGCTCCAAACTGTTCCCACAAAGTTGGGAGCATGGAATTGTCCAAAATGTCTTGGTATGCTGAAGCATTCAGAGTTCCTTTCACTGGAACTAAGGGGCCAAGCCCAGCTCCTGAAAAACAACCCCACACCATAATCCCCCCTCCACCAAACTTTACACTTGGCACAATGCAGTCAGACAAGTACCGTTCTCCTGGCAACCGCCAAACCCAGACCCGTCCATCAGATTGCCAGATGGAGAAGCGCGATTCGTCACTCCAGAGAACGCGTCTCCACTGCTCTAGAGTCCAGTGGCGGCGTGCTTTACACCACCGCATCCGACGCTTTGCATTGCACTTGGTGATGTATGGCTTGGATGCAGCTGCTCGACCATGGAAACCCATTCCATGAAGCTCTCTGCGCACTGTTCTTGAGCTAATCTGAAGGCCACATGAAGTTTGGAGGTCTGTAGTGATTGACTCTGCAGAAAGTTGGCGACCTCTTCGCACTATGCGCTTCAGCATCCGCTGACCCCGCTCCGTCAGTTTACGTGGCCTACCACTTCGTGGCTGAGTTGCTGTCGTTCCCAAACACTTCCATTTTCTTATAATACAGCTGACAGTTGACTGTGGAATATTTAGGAGCGAGGAAATTTCACGACTGGATTTGTTGCACAGGTGGCATCCTATCACAGTTCCACGCTGGAATTCACTGAGCTCCTGAGAGCGACCCATTCTTTCACAAATGTTTGTAAAAACAGTCTGCATGCCTAGGTGCTTGAATTTATACACCTGTGGCCATGGAAGTGATTGGAACACCTGATTCCAATAATTTGGATGGGTGAGCAAATACTTTTGGCAATATAGTGTATCTTCAATGTGTAAAATAATTCGTCCGTTGTTTTTTTCCATCTTCTGTTTTTATCTTTTTAAAATGCATTGGCAGTATTTATTAATTTCACATGTCAAGCACTTTTTGATTAGTCTAATTGCTGTTAGGCAAAACCCCAAAGGCCTCAATACACGGCGGTAATGTTTCCCAAGACTCAATGAAGAAATTCTGCTTACAAAACTTGGTTGTTGTTGTTTGCTTAGAGAAATTAAAATAAAACTTTTCTTGTTTCTTTCACACTGCCAGCTCATTTGTCATGAGGGAGTAAGATTAATAAAGTTTGGTTTGAATTCGGTCTTTTTATAAGTTGGCTAAAACCAGTCATCAATCACTGTAATGAGGCTTACTGGCATTGAAATTAGGGAATCGTGGTGTAGTCAATCTACAAAGTTCATTAAAGGGGAGATATTATTAAAAAAATAAATACTGTTCAGGTTTTGAATATATTTTGTTGTGTCCTTGGAGTCACTGAAAATGAAAAAGAAAGAATTTTGTTTCTTCAGGTCTTGTGTTGATATTTACATGCCGTTTAAGTCATATTTTTCCGTTCAGTTTCTTTTTTTTTTATGAAGACAAAACAAAAAGCAGATTAATAGAAACGTCTGGTTATCTTGTAAATTACATCAATATGGAGAGGACATTTTTT